TGCAGCGGCGGCTGCGGCTGCTGCTGCTGCGGCTGCGGCTGCTGCTGCTGCCGCTGCTGCTCCAGAAGGTCCAGCACCCGCAGCTCCTGCCGCTCCCTCTCCAACCGCTCCCGCTCCTCACGCTCACGCCGACGGGCAGCCTGGAGACGCGTGTCGTGGCGGTGGGGAGGCGGAGTGGACTCCGCAGAACCAGGGTCTCCAGCGTCAGTCTCCTCAGACTCAGCACCCCCAGAACCAGCACCTCCAGTGCCAGGACCTCCAACTCCAGCACCCCCAGAACTAGCACCGCCAGTGCCAGCACCGCCAACTCCAGCACCCCCAGAACTAGCACCTCCAGTGCCAGCACCTCCAGCTCCAGCACCCCCAGAGCCAGCGCCACCTGCGCCAGCACCTCCAGCTCCAGCACCCCGCGACCGAGCACCCCCAGACCGAGCACCGCCAGCGGCTGCACCTCCAGCTCCAACACCAACCGAGTCCACAGTAACCTGTCGCGGAAGTGCCGAAGGCTGCTGAGGGGACTGTGAGGAGGACTGCGGGGAGGGAGACGCTACCTGACGCGCGACCGAGGGTAGAGGGGTAGCGTGGGACACACCAGACGGGGCAGGACCAGGGGGGGGCGGGGGTACCGGAGGAGCAGGAGCAGGAGGAGGAGAGGGTGCTAGGAACAGGGGGGGAGGGGGTACCGGGAGACCTCGACAGGGGTACCGGGTGTAGTAGGACACAGACTCGTCAAACCGGACGTCACGGGAGTCTAGGAACTGGTGGAGGGGCGGGTGGTAAAAGGACCAGTCGGCAGAGTCCACTGGGAAACCAAGGAAGAGACAGGGGACGGCGCATGCCGAGAGCTTGTCCGCGGAGGTGTCGCGAACAAGTGCAAGGCAGCCCCAGACTCGAAAGGCCGACCCAACACCAGGGGAACCAGTCCAAAGACTGGTCGGTGAAGCCTCGGGCCGCGAGACACGTGGCTGGAGGTTCAGCTGGTGTGCGGCGTAGCGAACCGCGTGAGGCCACAGAAAATGGGGCGCACGGGCATGGATCATGGACGTGCGGGCGATGTCCATGACCAAGCCTATGCGGCGCTCAGCAACCCCATTCTGCTGTGGGGACTCTGGCAGCGTCCAGGACTGGGTGATGCCCTGTTCGCCGCAGAATCCGCCGAGAATGCCGGAGCGAAACTCGCCCCCACGGTCGGAGTGAAGACAACTGACTCGACGACCACGAGTGCCCTCAGTGGCTAGAAGCCACCTGATCAGCGTAGCAGTCACCTCGGACTTCTTCGCAAGAGGGAACACTGTGGTGTACCTGGAGTAGTCGTCGATGACCACCAGAAAGTAACGCTCTCTCCCAGACCCCTGCGTCGGGGCAGGGCCCCAGACGTCCAAGTGGAGAGTCTCGAAGGGAGCGGTGGCCGGACGAAGGGAGGAGGAGTGGGGAGTGGCGCGTAAGCGACCGTCGACGCACGGAGAGCAAGGAGGGGCAAGCGAGGGAGGGAGCGACGGGAAGGTGCGTGGGAGACCTGTGACAAGTCCCTGACTGAGCATGCCACGAAGGCGAGGGATCGACGGGTGGCCAAGGCGGTGGTGCCACAGGACTGTGCGGTGGGCGAGAGAGCGACAGGAGCAAGACGCAGCGACTGGACTAGACACAGCGACCGGACTGGACACGACTACCTGGCTAGACACAGCAACTGGACTGGGGACCTGGGCCGGAGGGGACGCAACGACCTGAGGGGAGGACGCGACCGGGGAGCGCTCGGTGTGGAGAACGTAGAGACCGGAGCGGGGCTCCCTGGTGAAAGTGGCCAGGACAGCACCTGTGGTAGCGTCAGTACAGACTGCAGTCCGCCCACCCCCTACGAAGGTAACCGTGATCCCCCTGTTCTGGAGGTATCCAACACCCACCAAGTTCCGAGTGAACGAGGGGATGTGGAGGCCGCGCAGGACACCAGAGGGGACCACAGGGCACGGGAGGGTGGTGGAGCTACGCGCAACGGCTGGTCCAGAGGTAGGATCAGCCAGAGCCACCGACACAGGGGTGAGGAGTGGCGTAAGGGTCGTGTGGTCGCGGAAGAAGCACTGAGACGCGCCCGAGTCCAGCGTGAACGACAGAGAGGCCTCAGCCGGAGGGTCACCTGACCCAGTCGCTACACAAGCACCTAGAGCAGCAACACAAGCACCTAAGCTAGACAGGCACAAGGCTACACTAGCAGGAGGCAAGCAAGCTTACCTACGAACACGCGAGCACACAGACCCATCAGCACTAAAGTCAGCATCAACATACGAAGCATGCTGACGCGCATCGTCCATGGACAGATCAAAGACATCAATCTTACGGGCTAACAGACGAGACCAGCGAGGCGTGACCGCCAGAGGGCCCCAACGAGCCCGGTAGAGGTCGTCGAGGCGGCGGAAGCACCGCGCGGCAGAGTGGTCGTCGCGACCACAGAGACAGGGGCTGCCCGGCCCGGTGAGGCACCAGTGGGTGCAGGGGCCAGCGTCACGGCGAGGGGGGCGAGGGGCCCAGCTGGAAGAGCTGCTGCTGCGGCCGGTGCTCCCAGGGCCTCCCGGACCCCACTGCGGCGGGGGACCCCAGTGCTGCTGCGGACCCCATTGCAGCGGGGGCCCCCACTGCTGGAACTGCTGCTGTCCCTGCTGTGGCTGGTGCTGCTGTGGCTGCTGCTGCTGTGGGGCAACGCCCCCACCGGTCGGGCCACCACCTGTGGGTGGGCCTGTCTGTCCTGCACCTCCTCCAAGGCCCCCTCCCCCTGGCGCACCACCGCCGCCGCCGCCGCCGCCGCCTCCGCCACCACCGCCGCTCCCACCTCCACCGCCACCTCCACCGCCACCTCCACCGCCCCCACCTCCCCCCTTCCCGCCCTTGTTGCCACTCTTGCCCCGTTTCTGCCAGTCTGCGGCAGAAACGGCAGCGGTGTCCTCAGAGACCGACACAGCAGCAGAAGCGCGGGTAGAGGTGAAAGTGGGAAGCTGAGGGGCGGCACACCCCGCAAAGAGACGGGGGGCCACCGCATCAGTGGCGGAGGCAACGGCGAGGAGGCTGCTCTCGATGGTCCCGAGAGCAGTCTGAAGGAGGTCTATAGTGAGCTCAGTGGGGTGCTTTTGAAGAAGCGCGTCGCAAGCAGTGGCAAGGCGGACAGGGAGGCGGGTGACTAACCAGTGCACAGTGAGCCACATGGGGGGGGGAGCAACAAGGAGCTGTGCGTCGGTACAGGCAGCACGGAAACCGGCGTCAAGCGAGCGGAGGTGAGTCACTAGGTCGGAAACAGTCGCAAACGAGCCTAGGTCGGGAAACACAAACGGCATGAGGAGGCGACTGAGGGAGGCAGAGGAGGGGGTGGAGTAGCGGGCAACAATAGCATCCCACACCCCCTGGGCTGTCTCCACCTGGTCAAAGTGGGCGGCCTCAGTCGGGGGGAGAAGCTCCGACAGTGTGAGAGCGGCGGCAGCGTCACGCGAGAGCCACACGTCCCTGGCCAGGACCCGACGGTCGTACTCCGCCTGGGCCGTAGGAGTCGGCTCCGGGGTGGTCGGCAGGGCGGCGGGGGACGGGGGGGCCTGTAGGGCACCAGACGCGTGAGCCCACAGAGTGGCGCCGTCCTGTCGCTGGCTGGTGAGAAAACGTGTGGTCTGGCGCTGCCAGGTACCGAACTCGATCGGGCATCCCTCAGCATCGAAATGGAGGCGACGGGCCTCCATAGCGGAGCCCATGCTAGTGGTGACTGGAGCACGGCGGAGGCGGAGCTAAGAACGAGGAGGAAAACTACGGCGGGCTAGGGACGCCAGCGGGGAAACCGACGAGAGACAGTCGGCGAGAAAATAGTCGTGGGGCGGGGCTCTAACTGAACCTAGGTGGCGCTACCGGAGGGAAGAGCGGCTGCCAGCCGCTGAGCCGGGAGTCAAGTGCAGTAGGAATGGCGTGGGACCAGGGCACAGGTGAAGGGGAGAGAGATGCAGTAAGCGCACAAAGGGATGTGGTAAGTGCACGCAGGTGGGCGGTAAGGGCACGCAGGTGTGCGGTAAGTGCACGCACGCAGGTGTGCGGTGAGCGCACGCAGGTGTGCGGTAAGTGCACGTAGGTGTGCTGGAAGTGCACGGACGCAGGTGTGCGGTGAGCGCACGCAGGTGTGCGGTAAGTGCACGCAGGTGTGCAGGAAGATTTACGGAGGAGGGCGCGCGACAGGCGGAGGGAAGGGCACGCGACGGTCTAAGGAGGGCGCGCGACGGTCTAAGGAGGGCGCGCGACGGTCTAAGGAGGGCGCGCGACTGTCGAAGGAGGGCGCGCAACGGTTTAGGAGGGCGCGTAACGGTGGGAGAGGGCGCGCGGTGGTCTAAGGAGGGCGCGCGACGGGCTTGACAGCGCGGGAGGGCGCGGGCTAGGCGCGCGGAGGGCGCGGAGGGCGCGAGAGCACGGAGGGCGCGTAGGGCGCGGAGGCTAGCTAAGACCGAACGAGGATCTAACCTACTCGTGATACCATCTCAGAATAGGAATGCAACGGAATGGTCAAACTAGGAAGTGTGGAAGTACAAATATGCAACCCTAACAACTGTACTCCCTATTGTGCTACTCACTGTAGCCTACAAGCATAGAATTACATTTGACACCGGGCCGGGGAAGCACGCGGATGCTTCCGAAATGAGGGTAACGTAGACACACAAAAAACTACCTGTATGAGCAGGTAATGGTTGCCGTTACTTGCTTGATGCTCATGCCAAGAGCCTAAGCTCACAAAAACAAAAGCAGAGGTCCTATAGCCCCACGATATCCTCATATCACATCAACCGCATCTCGGAAAGCCGTGAAAGCAATGCCCTCCGCACCCACTTCTGGTACATCTCTACTTGTGATGAGATCCAGCCCTTTTGTGAGACTTCCTACGGAATAGCTGAAAAGGGAACACAATTGTCAGAGCAATCAAAAGTGAGCAGAAATGGGCAAGTGAGGCCAAGGAGAGGTAGATGATGGGTCATGAGGTAGATGAGGGGTCATGAGGTAGATGAGGGGTCATGAGGTAGATTCGCAAAGGGGGGAGGGGGGGGGGGGATGAAAGGACGCAAAGGGGAAAGGTCGAGGAGAGACTCACACTCTACGAGGGAATGGATGGGACTGACGGGGGGGGTATGGAAGAAAGTCAGGGGGGGATGAATATGCAAACGGGTGGGCTACCGAAGGAAGGCAAGGGGGGAATGGATAGCACACAAGGGGGGAGAGGAAGGCATTGAGGGGGGCTCGTGAAAAAAATAATGGCTCGACTGGTTGCAAAGGGACGCACTAGGTAGGTTTGAGAGAACACAACAGCACCCACCAACACAGCAGCACCCACCAACATAGCAGCACTCACCAACACAGCAGCACCCACCAACATAGCAGCACCCACCAACACAGCAGCACCCACCAACACAGCAGCACCTACCAACACAGCAGCACCCACCAACACAGCAGCACCCACCAACACAGCAGCACTCACCAACACAACTGCACTCACCAACAGAGCTGCACTCGCCAACAAAGCTGCACTCACCAGCACAGCAGAACGCACCACCACAGCAGCACTCACCAATACCATTGCAGCTGAAGGAGCGGTAAGGGTACCCGAGATACTTGCTGTTGCATGTGCGCATGCAGAGATGAGAGGAGAAAAGGGTGGGGTTGCATGGCACACAGGGGAGGGCTTTTAAGGGCAACTCAAATAGGAGCGGTAAAGATACCCGAGATACTTGCTGTTGCATTGCATGTATGCATGCAGCAATGAGAGGAATTTTAGTGTGCGCGACAAACCAGAAGACTAGAGGGAGATGACATGCAAGGGAACAAGGGGTGGATTGGGGGAGCAAGATCTAGAGGAAAAAAGAAGCTGAAGGTAAGAAGCAGCAAAAATTTCAGTATCGTGTCTCACGGAAGTGTGTGCAAGTGTGCGTGTCATGTACGTGTGTGTGTCACGCACGTATGTGCGTGTGGGTGCATGTGTGCAGGCATGTGTGCATGTGTGTGTTTGTGTGTGTGTGTGCATGTGTGTAGGTGTGTGTGCGCGTGTGCGTGTGTGTGTCTGTGTATGTATGTGTGTGTGTGTGTTTGTGTGTGTGTGTGTGCGTGTGTGTGTATGCGTGTGTGTGTGTGCGCGCGCGCGTGTGTGTGTATGCGCGCGCGCCATTACGCACGCATGTAACCTCGCAAACTTGTTGCAATTCCAGACTCACGTGAAACCCAAGCCGGCCATGCTGGTTCCGTCCGAAGCGCTGGGAGACGATGTGTACGCTCCAGCGCACCCCTCCTGCTCATACTGGTTCAAACTCACACGCTCCCCCACCCCTCCAGGAGCCCCGTCGAGCCGCAAAGTCGACCAGACTTCAGAGGCAGCCGAGGCAGGGAGGGTGGTGCAGGCGTTGAATTCAAGGCGCATAGTGAAGGTGTTGGTCGTGATGGTGTAGCTTGGCTGGTCGTAGAAGGTGATGCTGGTGGAGGAGACGGTGGGGGTGGCGCCTGCAGTGCAGCATGGCATGGCATGGCATGGGCCGCCGCCATGGTGTATGGCATGAGCAGAATGGCATGAGTCGATAGGGGAATCGAGGGATATGAAATGAGGCACGAATGGCATGGGGAAAGGATGCGGCAAGGGCACGCAGAGCCACCAGCATAGCATGGTAAGGGGTAGCAGAACGTGCGGGGGATGAGAAGGAAGAAGAGGTAAGGTGGGGGGCAATGGGGAAAAGGCTCGTCATAGAAGCTGGGGGAGATGGGGGAGATGAAAGGAGAGGGAGGTGGAGTGCATATGGAGTTGCTGGTAGAAAAAGGGACAGATGTGAGGGTGACGATAGCAAAAGCAGAGGACAGGGTTTGTTGCTAGTGGAAGGAAAAAACAACATAAGGGGGTCAAGAGGTGGGAGGAAGGGTTGGAAGGGAAAACAATTATGTGGGGTTGTGAGCAGCTTCGGTCTTACGTACGCTGCAAGCAAACATTTTGCCATACCTAGAGTGCTAACAGCCTCGGGGCTTTCCGCTGATGCAGCCAATGCTGGTCATGGCATTGCCCCGAGGGCAGATGCAGTATGGAAGAACCCCCGAGGTAAAGAGGTGGGAGGGGAAAGAGTGAGATGTGGTGCAAGTAGCATTGGGCTTACCGCTGATGCAGCCAGTGCTGGTCATGCCATAGCCGGGAGGGCAGATGCAAGCCAACCTATCCTCATTTCCACAACAATGTACGCCTCCCTGGTTCCCTGGTTCCTTGGTTCCCTGGTTTACTCAGTTCTCTATCCTCATGCGGATTCTCACAGCAGAAGCAGGCATACCGGCACAGGTCCTGGCTTTGGGCTGCGGAAGAAAGCGAGCAGCTATGTAGACCTCCTTGGTTTGTGATTCAAATGCCAGTCAAATTGAATGCATCAATTTTTCATTGCACATTTGTCAGCCGGCACAGCGACTGGGACCACCTCACAACAGCAGCAAATACAAGCACACATACAAGCGCACATACCCGCACACGTCCTGGCGTCAGGCTGCAGAAGAAAGCCAGCACTGCAAACACAGAAGGCCACTCCTGCACTGTCCTGAACGCACGAGCTGTTCCCACCGCAGGTGCTGGGCGCGCATTTCTCTGTGAATGATGAGAGGTGAGCATAGGGATTTTGTGAGCGCCTTTCAATGGAAGGGAGCTGAGGTATGAATAGATATGCAATTTGGTGTTTGAGAAATTTCAAAAATCAGCTGGATGAATATGGACGACTTTTGAGGTGCCCCAAAATTCTCAAAAATCAGCTGGATGAATATGCAATCTTCACTGGCGAGCATAGGGAGTTGGAGTGATTGGTTGGAACAGTTGCACGTTTTGCAATCTACGCATGGATTCTGCAGTATGAAGGAAGCAAATTGTGGGAGGCGAGATTTGAAACAGCTGAGAATTGCAGCTCCTGCAAAAGGAAGTGCGAATCAAAAGTGACTTCACAAAAGAGAAATGAGTAATTATGTGAGTGAATTTACAGCCGAAACGTGAGGCCGAGATGGGGGGGGGGGGGGGGACAATGAAAATGCACTAGCAGCAGGACTCACCAACACAGCAGCACTTACCAACACAAAGTCGCTCACCAGTGATAGAGCAGGCGAAGGAGCGAAAAGGATACCCGGGATAGTTGCTGTTTGCATGGGAAAGCAAACACAGGTAGGTGTTAACAAGTAAACATGCAGATACGGGTGTTTTAATAATGCAATGTAGCTAAAAGAGCATAAAGGATACACGGGATAGATGCTGTTGGAAAGCAAACACACAGGTAAGTGAAATGTTTCACTCGTACGCATGCTGCAGAGTGCCAGGGACGGGTGTCAAACCAGGCCCCGGTACCAGTGCGGGTGAAAGAATACAAGGGATTGTTGTTGTTACTTGTAGAAATGCAGAGATGAGGGTCACGCTCGGCAAGATGGGTTATGGGAAAAAGGAGTGCATGCGAGAGAGGGAGGAGAGGAGAGGGCGAGGAAGAGGGAGACGGAAGGGAAGAGGTAAAGGGAGAGGTTAAGCTTGGAGAAGGGAGGGGTAAAGCTAGAGGGAAATGGAGAAGGTAAGGTAGAGAGGTGCCATGCACTAAGTAGGTAATTAAGTTAAGAAACTTAGAGAATACTCCCAGTGCTGATGCCGGTCCTGAGCGTGAAAGGAAACAGGCTTCATAGAGGGAGAGCGAGAGGGGGGAAATTAGAGGGAGAGCAGGAGAGAGACGGAGAGAGGTCACAAATGAAATGATGGTTGGTCAAAACTACTCACGAAGTACTCGCAGTGCTGACGCCGGTTCCTTGCGTGACAGGAAACAGGCTGTATGCTCCAATGCATCCCGGCTGGGAGTACTGGCGGATCTCAGTGCAATCCCCCACACCCCAGACACTAGGTATGTAGACAAGTTGAGAGACTCACGAAGTAGTCGCAGTGCTGACGCCGGTTCCTTGCGTGACAGGAAACAAGCTGTACGCTCCAACACACCCCGGCTGGTAGTACTGGCGTATCTCAGTGCAGTCGCCCGCGCCCCCAGGCACCCGCTCCACGTCGCAGTATGACTGGATGTCTAGAGCAGTTGATGCTGTGAGGTTGGTGCAGCCGTTGTAGGTGAGGCGCATGGTGTAGGCGGCGGGTGTTATGCCGAGGCTCGGGAGTGTGTAGAAGGAGAAGCTGGTCGAGGAGACGGTGGGGGTGGCGCCTGGAAGGGGATGGGAGCACAGGGAGGAGAAACGTGAAGGGTCCAACGGAAGGCTAGCATGTGGAAGGAGAAGCTAGCAGAGGAGAGGGTGGGGGTGGCGTCTGGAAGGGGATGGCAGCGTAGGGTGCTGGTGAAACGTCAAGGGCGTTATGCCGAAGCTTGGGAGCGTGTAATAGGAGAAGCTGGTCGAGGAGACGGTGGGGGTTGCGCCTGGAGGGAGGAGAGGAACACAGGGAGGTGGAACGTGAAGGTGGGGAGGGGCTGGCCAACGTGAAGCTGTGACCCGCCCTAGGGGCAATTTGCCCCTAGCACAGGGCAAATTGCCATCAGGGGGAATTTATGGAAGCTGGGATGCGTGGGAGGGGCTGGCCAATGTGAAGATGCAACCCGCCCTAGGGGAAATTTGCCCCTAGCACAGGGCAAATTGCCATCAGGGCAAACTTCCCTAGGGGAAATTTATGGAGGCTGGGGAGAGTTTAGAAGGAGAAACTGGCAGAGTAGACGGTGGGGTTGGCGCCTGGAAGGGAGGGGAACATATGCAGGCGAATCTTGAGTCAACTCAATAAGCACCGGCACCTTTTAGGCACGTTTGCAGGTGAGTTTGGTACACAGTCAAGAGCAACACGGCAGTGTCTAGTTTGTTGGGACGCCATGCCAATGCTTGGAGGAGTGTTGAAGGGAAAACAACGGGGGAATGTTTTGTTGAAGGGCAAGGGGGGGGGGGGGAGAGGAGAGGGGGGGGGGGGGGGACATGGACGGAAATGACAAAAAGGGGATCGAGGCGGACATTGAAAGATGGAAGGAGGTGCCAGCGAGAGGAACCAGGTCCTTAAGATGCAACCAGTGGCCATACCAATGTAGTGGCCGTACCAGTGCCATACCATATGGCCATCATACCAGAGATGTGGTAACCCAGTAACACCTACAGTTTGGGCACGAATGGGGGCACACCCACCTAGGACGCAACCAGTGGTGGTCATGCCAAAGCCAGGAGGGCAGAGGCAGTAGGCAGCTTTGAGGCACCTCAAAGAAAGGAAACAGTGGTAACCGGTAACATGGTGGCACCTAACATGCGGACGCCAAGGGGGACATACCGAGGTCGCAACCAGTGGTGGTTATGTCAAATCCAGGAGGGCAGAGGCAGTAGGCAGCTTTGGTGTAAGGCACCACAACGCAGGTGGCTCCTGGGGGGCAGGTCCCACAAGAGGCAGGCCCTGCGGTGGTGGTGAGGGAGAGGGGAAAGGAGCATACAGTACAGAGTAAGACATGGTGCATGCATGCAATGCAATAAGAGGCTTTGCTGTACGGCAGCACAGTGCAGGTGGCTCCTGAGGGGCAGACAGACCCCTCACGAGGCAGGCCCTGTGGAGGTGGTGGGAGAGAGCGGAGCACACAGACTGAGACACACAGACAGCAGATGGTGCATGCACGCAGTACGGCACATCGCCAAAAGCACCAGGGCGTGTAGGGGCAGAATCAAGTGGCTAAGCCGAGCGGGCATGCGTGACAATCTGAAACGATCTGATAGGAGCAAGTGGTTCGGGTCAGGGCTGGGGTAAGCTGAACCAGTGGGAACCGAGCCAGTGGAACCGAGCCAGTGGAATCGAGCCAGTGGAATCGAGCCAGTGGAATCGAGCCAGTGGAATCGAGCCAGTGGAATCGAGCCAGTGGGAACCAAGCTAGTGGAAGCGAGCCAGTGAGATCCGAGCCAGTGGAAGCGAGCCAGTGGGAACCAAGCCAGTGGGAAGCGAATCAGTGCAGTAGTCCCTGATACGTTCTGGTAGAAACAAAAATGGGAACGAAGAAATGAGATGTAGGGTTAGGGAAGTAGAGAGACGTACCCATGCATGTGCCTGATACGTTCTGGTAGCCCGCCTTGCAAACACAGGAGGCGGCGCCTGCAGTGTCCTTCACGCAATCGGTAACCACAGCGTTGCAGCCCTTGATGACACAGGTATCTGGAGATGGGATGGAGGAGGGATGGAGGGAGAGAAATGAAAACCTCCAACTTAAACCTGCATGTGGTGGCTGCTGCATCCTTCACGCAATCAGTAACCACAGCGCTGCAAGCAACCCTTGATGACAGAGGTATCTGGAGGCGGTATGGAGGGAGAGGAATGAAAAGCTACGATTCAATTCAAGCGACCACTCGTGCAGGAACATCACTCACATGACTCAGGTGACTCACATCACTCACATACAGCAGCCATAGCATACAGCAGCCATAGCATACGGCAGCCATGGCGTACAGCAGCCATGGCATACAGCAGCCATGGCATACAGCAGCCATGGCATACAGCAGCCATGGCATACAGCAGCCATGGCATACAGCAGCCATGGCATACTGCAGCCATGGCATACAGCAGCCATGGCATACAGCAGCCATGGCATACAGCAGCCATGGCGTATAGCAGCCATGGCATACAGCAGCCATGGCATACAGCAGCCATAGCATACAGCAGCCATGTCGTACAGCAGCCATGGCATACAGCAGCCATAGCATACAGCAGCCATGGCATACAGCAGCCATGGCATACAGCAGCCATGGCGTACAGCAGCCATGGCGTACAGCAGCCATGGCATACAGCAGCCATGGCATACAGCAGCCATGGCATACAGCAGCCATGGCATACAGCAGCCATAGCATACAGCAGCCATGGCGTACAGCAGCCATGGCATACAGCAGACATGGCATACAGCAGCGATGGCATGGCATACAGCAGCCATGGCATACAGCAGCCATGGCATACAGCAGCCATGGCATATAGCAGCCATAGCGTACAGCAGCCATGGCATACAGCAGCCATGGCATACAGCAGCCATGGCATACAGCAGCCATGGCATACAGCAGCCATAGCATACAGCAGCCATGGCATACAGCGGCCATCAGACTGTCACATAGCACAGCACGTACCAGTGCACGTCCTGCCATCCGCCTGTAGCACGAAGCCAGTGTCACACACACAGGAAGCCGCTCCAGTAGTGCTGCTCTTGATGCACATGCCGTTTCCCCCACAGGCCTTGAGTGCGCATGTGTCTGGGAGGGGGAGAACGAGGAAGGAGAACACGTAGACAGTTGAAGTCTTTTTCTGTTTTTCAGCAATCATGCACCTGCCACCAGCATGCACATACAAGCCTAAGCATTACGCGGCTCAAACAAGCCTAAGCACGAAGTAGCACATACCAGTGCAGTTCACATCCTGCCATCCGCTTCCATCTCAAAACCAGTGTCACACACACAGGAGCTGTTCTTGAGGCACTGACATCAGCACATGACGTCAGCATATGACATCAGCCCAAACCACCAGGATGCAGCACGCACCAGTGCACGTCTTGCCATCCACTTCCAGTTCAAAGCCGGAGTCACACACACAAGACGCCACTCCATTAGTGCTGTTCTTGATGCACGTGCCGTTCCCCCTACAGGCCTTGAGAGTGCATGTGTCTGGGAGGGGAGGGAGTGAGGAAACAAGAACATGTGAAAAGTAGGAGTCATTTCTGGTTTGTCGTCAATCATTCACATGCCATCAGCAAAGCATGCACATACAACTCAAGCCTAGGCACGTAGTAGCACACACAAGCAGAGGCACATAGTAGCACAAACGTAAGCACACGGCACATACCAGTGCACGTCCTGCCATCCGCCTGCAGCGCAAAACCAGTGTCACACACACAGGACGCCACTCCAGTAATTGCGTCCTTGATGCACCGGCCGTTCACACCACAGGACTTGAGTGCGCATGTGTCTGCTATGGAAAAAAGTAAGTTAAGGGAAATATAAACAGTGCATTTCATTTCTTGCACGAGCAAAAGTGTGTCTTTGCCCATGGAGCACAACAACACATGCTATCAGCACAGCACGCACAAGTTTCAGAATAATGCAGCATATGCAAGCATATACAGCATATCGCACATGGCAGAGCACAAGGCATTGCATAGCACATGACATAGCACATAACGCAGCACATGGGCATTGCATAGCACATAACACAGCACATGGCATTGCATAGCACATAACACAGCACATGGCATTGCATAGCACATAACACAGCACATGGCATTGCATAGCACATAACACAGCACATGGCATTGCATAGCACATAACACAGCACATGGCATTGCATAGCACATGACATAGCACATGCCGCATGGCATTGCACATGGCGTAACACAAGGCACAGCACAAGGCATAGTACAAGGCATGGCAACGTGGGACAATGCATGGCACGCACCGGTGCATGTGATGCCATCACTCTGCAGCACAAAGCCAGTGTCACACACACAGGACGCCACTCCTGCACTGTCCTTGATACACTTGCCATTGCTGCCACAAGCCTTGAGTGCGCATGCGTCTGGGGAATGGGGGGCAGAGGGGAGGGGGGTGGGCGAGTGCGGGGATACTAAGAGCAGCGAATGAAAGAAATTACTGTCCACGTGACAGGCCTCAGTAGATTGAAGCTCAAAGCGCTCCTGCCACCTAACAGCACTCCTGCCACCTAACAGGATCTCTGAAACCCGGTTGGTCAAAACAGGGCTCTGGGGCTCAATCATGGAACGCCTTGAATCTATGGAGGCCTCATGTAATGTCCGCAAATGACACCCCTGATAAAGCCCCCCCTTTACCCCACCTCAAACTACAGGCCTCTCTATCTCCAAATAGCACAGAAGCACTCAACCCCATGTAGCATCCACCACCACTCTAGCCTGCAGCACTCACCAGCACCAACACAGCCAGTGGGGGTCATGGAGAATCCAGGGTTGCAGGTGCATCTGGCGTTCCCCCTTTCCTTCACACAGACCGCATTGGCACCACACGTCCTATGCACGCACGAGTCTGGCGGGCATTAGTCAAAAGGAACAGAGAGGGGAGGAAGGTATGAAATGCATGAGGAAAGTTCCTCTTCACGCAGATCGTATTGGCGCCACACTTCCTCTGCACACACAAGTCTGTTCCGCGTGTTATTCACATGGACCATCGAGGGAGAGAGGAACCAGAGAGAGAGGAAGACGGGGCGAGGAGAGTAGAGGGGACGAGGAGGGGAAACGGGGACAAGGAGAGGAAACGGGGGACGAGGAGAGAAAAGCAGCAAGAGCGGAGAAGCTTCAAGTGTGGACTAAACACGGGGGAGTAGGGGATTGTGAATTGACAGGTTGAGTGGAAAGAGCGCGACAGGTATCAAGCATCGCTCCCATCAGGGTTTGAAGGCAGAAGATGTGCAATGGTGAGTTCAGCAGGCCCTAACTGTTACGTTTCAGGCCCTGGTGGTGACTACTACAGGCTACTGACTTACGGTCGGCTGCCTTGCTCGCAGATGGCAGGCGAACAGCAGCAACTCCGGGCGCACAGGCTGAGAGCGGTTGGGTTGGGTGGGAGGGGAGTCGGGGAAGAGGGGGGGAGCGGGGGGGTGGGTTGCAGGGGGGAGAGAGGAATGTAGAGGAGGATGGAATGAGGAGGCAGGGAAAGGAAGGCTCGAGAAGGGGAGCTTTAGATGCACAGGATGCACGAAAAGGGACGAGATCGGACGGTGGAAGAACTGGATGTTGGGTTGGGGTGAATAGCCACCTGAGCTCGCCGCATTCCCTCAACCGGATGTTGCGGCAAAGGGGTATCATACGAAGAATATAAGGATTGGTGGAGGAGGAAGTGAGCTCAAAGCCGCGAAAGAAATCACTTATGAGAATTCTCAAGAGAGATTCTAGGATTGTGGAGGAGGAGAAAGTGAGATGAAAGCCGCGGACGCGAAGAATTACGCCTAAGTCAGTCTCGCGAGGGTTTGTCGCTCCAGCCAACCAAGGTTCAAAAATACGGCAGTCGTAAATTACGGTCCGTAATTTACGGTTGTAATTTACGGTGGTTTTGGCAAAAATACGGCCGTTTTTTTGTTGGACATTTTTTTGTACTTCTTATTTTTCTGAAATTTCTAGGCAGCTTACAACGATGACAAGGAAGCCTATAGGAAACTACACTACACTACCTAGGCAAATCTGCACCTAATCCCTCCTCTTCCTCCTCCCTCCTACTCCTCCTCCTCCTCCTACTCCTCCTCCACCTCCTACTCCTCCTCCACCTTCTCCTACTCCTCTCCTCCTCCACCTCCTACCCTTCCTCCTCCTCGTCGTCCTCCTCCTCCTCATCCTCCTCCTCCTCATCCTCCTCCTCCTCCCCACTCTCACCATCACTGCAGTCCCACGGCCAGACTGCCTTAGGACGCTTGGAGGGTCCTACCTCCCGCCCATTGCTCTCTGCCGCCTCCTCCTCCTCCTCCTCCTCCTCCTCCACCTCCTCCTCCTCCTCCTCCTCCTCCTCCTCCTCCTCCTCCTCCTCCTCCTCCTCCTCCTCCTCCTCCTCCTCCTCCTCCACACGCTTCTTTCCTCTCCCCTTCCGCTTGCATGGCCCCTTTCCCTTCTCCTTCCTCTTCCTCTTGGAGCTCTCTCCCGCGCGCTTCTTCTTCTTCTTCTTCTTACCAATGCTCCCAAATACAGTCCAGTCGATGGTGCACTCTGCCACCTCGGCTCCCTCCTCCTCTTCAGCCCCACCTTCATCCTCTTCCACTGTTGCGGGCGGGGGCACGGGAATGCCCTCTTTGAGGGTTCCGTCGGTGAGATCAGCGTACAACTTCGCACGCGTCTGAGTTTTGCGATCAAACGCATCGCGGGCCCTCCTGGTGAAGGCCACGAAGGTGACATCAGTCATCTTCTTGGCCGCGATGCGGTTCCGATCCCGCCTTTGCACTCGTGCAAGGGCGGAAAAGTACCGCTCCACCTCGGACGAGGTGACGGGCTGTGATAGGGTCGTGACAGCCAGTTCTTGGAGCGCTTGCACTTCCCCACCGAAAATCCACCACCACTCCGCATCCGTCATGCGCCCCCCCTCCACCAAGGTCTTGGCTGCCCATAGCGCATCATCCGACCCGAGGCGGCCCTCACCCTTATGGAATTGCACCAGCTGTGTCTGCAGCTTGATGCGCTGGGCCACATCCCCCCCCCGGGCCTGAATCACCGCGTCGGCCCCCTTCCTTACCTCCGCATCGGTTCTCACCTCCCCCGCGTACTGGTTGCGGGGATTAAGAAGCCATCCCAGGGCATGCAGGGGGTTGTGGAGTTGCCCGTCCCATCGCCGGGCAAGGATGCCCTTGATGGATGCCATGAAGGTGCTCTTGTCCTTGGCCAAGAGCAGGCCCGTCTTCTTGATGAATACCGAGGCTGCTCACGGTGTGGATGGAGGAGTTTATTGTTAACACAGGGAATGGCACGCGCGGTGTGATCAAGCATGCAACACAGATTCGGAAGTAGGAATAGAACTAAACATAAAAGAGCTTTAGACTTACCGGCGGCCTCTGCAGCTTCCCGTGTCTTCACCGTGATATCAATCATGAGGCCATAGATTTGGCCCATGACTTGTGCCCGCGTGTCAACCACCCTTAGCACTTCATAAACCGGCGTGAGGAGGCGGAGCACCGCAGTAACACAGTCCCAAAAGACGTCGTCAAGAAGAAGCGCCCGCACCTCCTGCCCTTCAGCCTTTTGCGCCACCGCCACCCCTTTCCATTCATCGCTGATGACCATGGCCTGGAGTGCCCCCTTCACCTCCAAGAAGCGGCGTATCATGATGACTTGAGTGCCGAACCGTGTCGCACCCGGCCGCACCAATGAAAGCTTGGTAAAGAGCTCGCGGAATAGAACGACGGCGGAGGCACTACCCTTGATCATCATGACGACTCGATGCACTTGCTCTAACACGCGTTTGACGGGCCCAACTTTCCCTAGGTCGTGAAGCATAAGATCCAAGCAGTGGGCGGCGCAGTTGGCGATAAAAACCGAGGGAAACTCCTCCTTAAGCTTCTCAGCCGCGGATCGGTTGTTAGACGCATTGTCCATGATGACCTGGACCACGAGGTCCTTCCCCACTTCGGAGATCGAGTTCCCGATGAGACCCGCGAGGTAGTCTCCAGTTTTCTTAGCGGTTTTCGAGTCGACAATGTCCACAATGACGGGCGCGGTGTCATTGTGGGCGATGACGCACACAATCCCGCGGGACTTCATGCACGTCCACCCGTCCACCGAGAGACTGCACCCGGTCGTCTTCCAACTCTCCTTCAATGGCCTTACAAGCTCCTCGGCGTCCGCCCTTAGCTTGTCGAGGAGAGAGCCGGACACCTTGTAAGGGGTTGGGAGTGTGTAGGGCTTCGCGAACACGACCGCCGCGTCAACGAAGGCTTGTAGCGCACGCGATTTGGAGACGTTGAAGGCTAGATCATTCTCTGCCACAACTGCCGCCCACAGGTAGTCCAAACGCGCGCGGGCAACGGTATCCGCCATATCGCGGATGTCCCGCTGCCTAGAACGCCTTGCGGGCTGCATCTCGACCGTGGTGGAGGTAGAGGCACGGTTGGAACTGGAAGGTGTGGAAGACCGATCCCTCTCGGCGGCTTCACGAAGCCGCTTGGCAAACTCGGACGGACACGGCGTCACGTTCTTCTCCCTTGAACGAGGGGTCCCGTAGATGTGCTCTCTAATACGAGTGGCATTTGGGGTCACGGTAGCAGGGCAATAGCTGCATGTCGCGGTGACTACGCCGCTAGGAGATGTAACCTTCGTCACGTGCTCCCACACCTCCGAGAAAGGTCTAACCATGGTGGAATACAGCAGATGGTTGAAGCTGTAAAATGCCTACTAAGAAGTACTTGTCGAGTAGGTTTATCGCCCTGCTCTTTGTACCTTGCAAGACTTGGTTGTGTTGCTTTGGCGAATGGAAAAGGCGAAAGGGATGGGATGTGATGGGATGGAGATTGGACTAACGCTATTGGTTAAAATTGTTTCGCAGCGCAAAATTGGGTTGTGTCGCGCATGCGGGCGAAAATAACGACGGGGCCGCGAATCGTCCCACCGACCTGGCGAAACGGGTTGACGGGTGATAACGGTTCGCCAAATGTACAAATTACCGCATCGCGGAAATTTGTACATTTGCGCGTCGGCGAAATTCACAAACTGACATTTCGTAAGGGCGACAGAGCAACACAACGTTCGCCAAAAAACAAAATGTCGCGCCTCGAGAAACACCTGACATGCGCGACTCGGGAAAAATACAAACACGTGTGCATTTGGCTGCACGAATGTCTCAAACCCAGGGTGACGGTTGGGAAATGTCGAAATTCGCTATTGCAAACTCGGTATCAAAATTTCGGTCGTAATTTACGACCGTATTTTTAAACCAACTTGAATTTACAATGATTGACCGTTTTTTACCGTAATTTACGACCGTAATTTACGATATCGTAATTTACGGTAAACAATCAAAAATACGGTCGTAATTTTGAACCTTGCAGCCAACTAAACATGGCGTAGAGCAGCAATGTGAGCAGAGCATTAGAGGAGCGCAGACCTGAGTGCACACCTGAGAGCATGAGAGCAGCCAGTGCAGCGAGCACGAGGCCAGAGCGTCGCGTCACAGCCACGCCGTGGGAACGCGCCATGCCTTTCCCTTTTCCCTCGTTTTGAGTTGACACGATGCCGCGGTCGATATTGGGATGAAGATGGGTCAGAGGAGTTTTCGCAGCCGCAGACAGCAGGCTTTGACGTTCACTGAGAGAGTGCAAATCCAGGCTCTGAAACGGCTTTTGAGGCTCCTCAAAAGTCTTCGCAGCAGCAGACAGCAGGCTTTGACGTTCACTGAGAGAGTGCAAATCCAGGCTCTGTATTCTAACTGAGGAGCGGCGTCATGCGGGCGCGTCCTTCGTATCAGCGGCGGCCGGATGCGTCAAGTAGTAGGGAGAAAAACAATATTTGGCAAGTAGTAGTACGGCATGGAATGTATGAAAGTTCTCTGGGAGCAAACAGCCGAAATTACAATGAAGCACAAACGGAACCGAAAGATTGTCGCGATTGGAGTTAAGAGACTGAAAGAAGAACTCTCAAGAGTCTTAGAGGAGAGACGCAATGCACGACAGACGTGGAGTACAGTACAATTATGCCGGCTTGGTGAAGAAGGAAACGCAAGACAAATTTCGCATGACAAAGCGCCGCGTCCGCATCAAGGTGAGTGCGTCGTAACTTCTTTGTGCTACTGTTTCCGCCATAACAGGACTAAGAAAGGCGAAGCCAAGATTAGAGAACTGAAATGACGAGTCCAATCGGATTCAACTTCAAGAAACATCCGCGATGCTAGTAGCAGTGGTTCGACCAATACCAGAGAAGTTTTATCACGTGAAGGCGACTCGTATGACGTAGCTATGAATCTTGCAGTATGGTTGGGTTTGGGTCTGGTTTGGAGGATTTGGGGGGTGATGGATGGAGCATGCCTGTCTGCTCCTCCGTGCTTTTCTGGGAAAGTACCGAGCGTCGACATCCCCTCCAACGTCGGAGACAAGCAGCAACTGAGTTGCTGGCTATCATCTGCTGCTACATCGTTACTAGAAGACAACAGTGCTGGCCAAATTTACAGAATGTACTGTACTAGGCTCCCCACTATAGACAAACCAGGTCTGCTTGACTCGGTTGGGCCCAGAGACAGCGTGCAGTGGAAACTCGTGCCAAAGAAGCTGCTTGTCCAGTAACTGACAAGGAGCAGGTAGAAGCAGATTGAAATTGATAGGGAAGGGCGAAGGGGATGAGTGGTGGGGTGGGGTGTCCACTTGAATGCGGTTTGTTGAGATGCTTTGCATGTCGAAACGGTTATTTTAGACGATAGAGCGTTTGCTTAAGGTTTGAAAACCTTCAGATGTGACACCCCCGTCAGTGTGACTACCTCTCACAGCTCAAGGAACGATGCGATTGGCGGTCGCCAGGCACAACACAAGTGTGGGAGGTGTGTGCGTGGCATTGCCCTTCCGAGGAAGAATCTTTGGCCCCGCTCGACAGGCTAACACTCTGCAAAAGGCGAGTGTTAGGCTAGTGTTTAGATGAGGGTTCACCGCACCTTCGTGGGCAAAACAGGGGGATGAAGCTTCAGTCTTAGCGGTCGGAAGGAGCGGGTCCCACAAGGCGAAGCTGCCCGCCTCCTTCAACCTGGCTCCTCGCGGGCACAGTAGAAAAGTTTGGGGACCACGCCAAACGTGTTTGGGTAACAACGCTGGAGAAAAAAAAAGCCCATCCCACAAACAGCGACCCTCACAAGTTTGGGCATCCGAATTTTTCGGACCAAACTGGTTCACAAGTTTCTATTTTAGGGTCCACGGAGTGGGTGTTCCTCCCACTGCAAACACCTGACGAGCCCTTTGCAAAACCCCACTTTTGGGGGGCGAGGGTTAGGCTGGGTGCAGGCTAGACCTTTGCCCGTGCGGGAAGGCACCTGGTTCTTTCTGTGAGGGCGAAGGGGTCAAGTCTCGGCTGCGTTCGACAGGCTAACACTCGGCCAATAGGTTAACGAGCGTTAAAGCCCCGAATGCACATTTCACGGGCTGACCGTGATGAAAAATGTGAAAACGAAACAGCCGCGATGATTCCGCAGCCGTCGGTGTTAGCCTGTCGAGCAGGGCCTTTGACTTGGCGTGGCAACATGTAAGGAATTTTCTCGGCATTCCTTACGGAGCCCGACTACATCGCGTACACCTAACCCGCGCCAATTTCAAAAACTTCGCACCGAGCCGCGATTTTGCCACTTGCGCAAGGGATATTTGTGTAGTGAGTCAGCACCTAGCTGTCTGTGCTGACGGGGCGGATTTGCCTCCCGCGTGTGTCGAGCGAGAAAGTTACGAAGCAGAAACTGTATGGTTATGAAGTGTTTCTCTGTGTTTGAGAGTGGTTCGGCAAGAATTTTGAGTATGGGATGAAGTGCCAGCATGTCATCCCACAGCGTCGTAATGTTCTGCTGACCATTCACCATGCCACGTGTGCTGTAACCCCATCAGGCAACGACAAACCCTTTGAAATTGGGGGGATTGAAATTGGCGCGGGCTAGGTGCAGGGCTGATTTTATCATGGTAATTACCCTGATTTCAGGGTGATTTCAGACTTGTCACATTCTGGTCCCTGTAATTTCAGGTTTAACGTCTTCTGAACACTGATCTTGTCAGAGTAGTACTTTAGCGAACCCTGGAATTTTGTATACACTCACATAGTAGTGTTCTTAAGGACCCTGTCCATACAGAGTATGCGTCTTGTTGACCCTGAATGCAACGTTATCGGGATGAAGCTTCCAGGAATCTTCGTCCCGATAACCCACAGGTGCGTAATCATGATTACGCTTGCTCCCATCTCAGAGACTCCATTCGCGCTATCCAGGTTATCGCAGTACACTACGTTTCTGTTAGAATGACTAAACATTCGATTTCTGATTTTGGTTATCTGTAAACTTAAACCGAGAAAACAAATCACGATCTAGCGGATCGCAAAGTGATTCGGCACGAGATAAAAGAAAACCATCCGTAGTGAAACACCGTATTGCCATGTGACTGATAGTTTTTAGTAATCAGCTGTTTTTCGCTAACTTTGGAAAAACATGTGTACATTAGAATAATTGTGAAACTAAACGAGACACTAACATTGAAAAACGTCCCCCCCCCAGAACCCCCCCCCCACCAAAACCAGGTCGAGTCTCGACACCCCTCCCATGAGCAGTCCGTTCCCCCATTTCCTGCCCCCCGTCTCCCCCTTTTGTGCGGACGACCCGCGGTCACGAAATAGCCCCACCCGGGGTTTTGCGGAAAATGTGCCTTCAGGGTAAATATTTTTTTGGGGGATTGAAAACAGGGTACCCATATTTGAATCGTCAGCCCTGGCTAGGTGTACAGCAACAGTCGTTGTTCGCCCGTTACTGCTAACGGGGCTTCGCCGACTTCGCGCACACTGTTTCACCAAACCTCGCACTGCTGGCCTGGCCGTGTCGGCCTACGCTTCGGGACTAGCCCGAGCCTCGCTCCAGCGTAGCACTAGCTAGCTCGCACGCACCGCGTTACCATTTGCATGTTTCGCATATAAATGTTCGCTCATGCCTTCGCTTGCATTTTGTACTCGTTTGACACCTTAGTGCAATTCTCGCTACTTCGATTCATTGCACCCGTAACACTTGGTATTCAAAGCCCCTTTCTTTCGGACCGTGCATCTCCGCACCCCAGGAAATCAACTTTTGATTTTTCACTCGAAGGGACTCACGTACCTTAGCACCTAGGAGCCGCTGTCCTCGCGTTCTCTCGTAAACGCGTGCAGCCACGACTGCGCCTAGACTAAGACGAGCCGACGCCCTTCGAAATGGCTGAACACATCGACGTCACGACTCTCACGCAGGAGCACTTGAACGATCTGCTGCGACAAATCCGCGAGAGCGCCGAGGAAATCGCGACGCTGGCGGCAGAACGCTCGTCCCTGCAAAACGACCTCACACGAGCACAATCCCAAGCACCTGGCACTCCGATTCAGCCCGCACC